GCATCGTTGTGTGGATGTTGCACCATGTCCAGGTCTGCCACAATAAAGGACACCATTGGTCCTTGGTACTCGTTTGTCCTAGGCATCTTTTGCTAGACCTGATACAAACGCTGTAAGTGTCTCACATTTTGGGTCTCTCCTCGTATATCATTCTCATTAACTTTCGAATGAATCACATTGATCACCTGAGGTTCTGTTTGTTGTGGTTATGGCGACGGTGGTGCTACTGGTGCCAGGGAAAACTTTACATGCTCTTCCCTCATTCTGGCCTCATTTACTAGGTCCCTTAAATGACCCTGTCTGACCAGATCTTCCAAGTGCATCTTCAGGGCTCTGCACCCCTGGGTCAGGTGCCCATCCTCACTATGGTAAGCGCAGTGTTTCCCAAGGCTCCTTCCCATTAACTCACCAGGAATCTTCTCTGGCGCTCTATAATACGGTTGGTTCCTGATCCTTTCTAGAATTTTATAAACCGAGATCTAGAACACAGTGGTGATTTCCTGTGCCACCCTCAGCCCTGTTTCTTGCCTGTTGAAACCAGTATTACCTCGGCCTCGCTTCGGCGAGCCGTTTCTCTCTTTTTATTTCAACGCCTTCATTCCCGTCATATCCTCTTCTGCTCTGGCATATTTCTCGATCCATGCCATGAGCTCTTCCATACTCTTTGGTAGAGTTTTTGCCAGCAACTTCTGAAGTGGGCATTCATCCTCCAAGTCGTTCTTAAAAGATACGACCGCCAGCTCTTGGTTGTATGCCAGTATTCGGTTGAACACCTCATAATACCTTTTGGCATAAGCCCTAAAGCTTTCACCCTCGCTAGTTTTTAGAGCCATCAGGGAGTCTACCCTTAGTGGTTGCAATTTGTTTGTAACAAACTTGGCCACAAACATCTCGGCCAGGCCTTCTCAACTCTTCATAGTTCCTTTCGGCAACTTGTGAAACCAATCGGATGCGATTTCTCCAAAGGATGAGAGGAACACCTTGCACAGCAACTGTTCGTTCTCAGTATACAAAGCCATTGAATTCATATATAAGCCGACGTGAAAGTTCAAATTGGACTTACCGTCATAAATTTGGAACCTCGGTATATGGAACTTTTTTGTGGCCTCAAACCTATCCAACTCCACAGAGAACGACATTCTTGGCTTGACGGGGGATGTGATCTCAGCATTCTGCCGCTTCCTCTTGAGGTAATATCACGACCCAAACTTGCCCCTATAGGTTTAGCGTTGTAACCGGCCAGTAATCCTTGTATTACCGAATGCCTCTTACACAGGATAACATATAGTTAGGGGCTGCGGAAGCAAATATATAAAATATACATTGTCCATTGAGTTGTAAAAACGTACATGGGACAAATAATTTTAAATCTTAAAACTAAAATAGAGTATTTATATGCCACTTCATGTATATACAACAAAAAACCTTTTTGTAAGTCAAAAGAAATTAAGTCTTATACATCCACAAAAACATAACCTCTAAACATTACTTGACCGGAAACCTCCTCGAGAGGCACAAAGGCTGGCTGACCAAAAATTAAGTCGCCAGGTCCTCAACTCTGAGCCTGGTCACATGTCTGATCACCTACATATATAAATAAATAGTGAACGGGAGCCTAGTGAATAATAACAGAGTAAAGAGTTAAATGAATAATGTCCTGTAATTATGTCCGTGCATAGAACCGATTCATATTTGTGATCTCATTTAATGCATATATACATATATAATTCAGGAATCATGCTTGATCATTCATAGTTCATTCGTTAGCGCTAACAAATCATATACAAAACATCATAGATCATACTTGTCAGTTCCATAAAGGAACCTCCGGCCGGGTACGAATAACTTGCCAGTTCCATAAAGGAAGCTCCAGCCAGGTATAGATAACGTGCCAGTTCCATTAAGGAACCTCCGGTCCAGGTACAGATAGCATATTTGAATCATAGCATTAATGTCATATATATATCTGAGATGAACAATCATTCATAGTGCATAAGCATAGCATTCATAGGACAAATCTTATTCCATATACAGAAAATAATTTAACTTGAACATAGCTTTACTAAATCATTACTCACAGATAATCGATGGCTCTAAATAGATGAGTAGAGTAGGCAATTCACTTAACTTGAGGCGCGTGACCTACATAACATGACAGATACATACATTGAAACACATGCTCGGATTATACGTAACTTATTTCATTTGTTCTTAGTGTGTTTCTAGCCCTTATCCTCATTATAGTGTTTTAATCTTGGCCTAGGAATGCCTAGGATGGAATAAGGATGCTAAAATGTATTTAAAAACATTTTTCAAAACTTATTGAAAACAGGGTCTACGCTCGAGCGAACATGCAAAATGTGAGGGTCTGCTCGAGTGTAACTTCCTTCGCTCGAGCGGTCTGCAAACTTTGAAAAAGTACTGGTTGCTTGATTTTCTCGCTCGACGGACACTCAATCCCCGCTTGAGCGTGAGATTCAGACCTTTGCTCGAGCGTAACCTTCGTCGCTCGAGCGATCTGCAAAAAAACATGAACTTTTGAGAGCATGCATTTCACGTTCAAGCGGACTTCTGGTCACTCAAGCGGAAATGCAAGATTACAGGGTCGTCGCTCGAGCGTAGAATCCGACGCTCGAGCAGAAGTGCAAAATCTAGAATTTCCAAATTGCACTCTCCAGCTCCAAGCTTGAATCCCACACCCCAAAACTTATCTTCTTGGGCCAAAATTCTAGAAAACATCTAGGAACTTGTAAAATATCATGTTTCGAAGATCATTTCATGAAATCAAGGCCCAAAAGTATGTCAAACATGCAACAATTCAACTTAAAATGTAAAAACATGGTATGAACATGACATGCATGTGTTCACTTGAGTTCATGGCTTCTAAAACATGATCAAATGTGATCCATTGATGAGAAATGTTATGAATTCTCCAACTTATGCTAGAATTACAAGATGCATGGGGAAAATCTCTGAAAACAACTTCAAATTGCTATAAATATGCATGCATGTATGGAATGACTTATCTTTCTTCAATTCTAGCTCAATCCTTACATGAATTCATCTAATTCACTTGTTTTCATACATTATTCAACTACATTACATGGCCAAAGACTAAAACTCTTACCTAGAGTCTAAATTGCATGAGGGAGGAATCTTCAATTCCCAAATTCTTTACAAATCTCCAATAATTCCTAGCAATTCTCCCATATCCCAACTTTTGATCCCAATTTTCTTCTATCTCACTCTCTCTCCCACGTTTTTGCCTGTGTGTGTGTGAGCTCAAATGTTTTGGAATGAAGAAAAGAAAGGGTGAAGGCATATAAGAAGCCTTATATAGGCTCACTTAATGATAATTACTTAAGGCTAATTAAGTAGGCATTAATTTAATCGTTCCAAATCAAATTTTGATTAAACCTACCATAATGTTCTAAAAATTCCAAATAACACAAAAATCAAGTCAATTTCTAAATCGGATGCCGATAAGGCCTTTAATTCGCAAATCGAATAAAAACATGAACAGATCTTTCTACGTTAAACAGATATAAACACAAAATAATGCAATGCACATGTAATTAACTCAAGATATCTTCTTAATTACTTGTTAGGCATACTTAATCATGAATTAGCGCTAATCATGGGTCGGGGTTGTTATAGGTAGTCCCTCAAATCCTCATTCGTCTGTCCAGGAGCTTGGCTGTCAACAGATTTCAGCCTTTTTGCTATTCCCGGTATCGTGGTGTGTCCTCTTAGATTTTTCTTTATTCACTGTATCAAAGCAAAGTCCTTTCCCATGGACGTGCAAATGTTCTTTGACATAAGTTCCCTTTGTATGAGGCGTCCTCTAAGACTCACCTCTCACTGACTCTGCTTACCCGACATCCCGTGAAGGCCAATGTGAATGTTCCTTCTCTTTGTCATGCTGAGGGACTACTGAGATTGCTTTCTGCCCTCCTTTCTGGGCATTGGTCTTAGCCCCTGGCATCAGCGTGTCCTATAACGGAAACAGTGGTTACATGACGTTGTTCTGTATCATGAAGTTGACAATCGATTGTAAATCTACCAACTTGTTGGCCATTCTCTTTATCTCGCCATACCTCTTTAGGCATCTATCCTTCCATACCTGGAGGTCACTTTCGTTGTAATACTCATCTCGGCCTGCTTTCTTCGGGACGTCTCCCTCTTTGCCGATGTCATTCTCCCCGGGATTTTGATCCCGTGCTCCTTTGTTATGGTTTTCTTCATCGATGTTAGGATCAGGATGTTTACCACTCCCTTATGGGATGTCGTCCCCAATCTTTTCTTTCTGCTCATCGTTGACCATCTATTCTCCTTAAATTCCCACAGATGGCGCCAAATTGTGGGTGTTGATTTTTGACCACATAACCAAACAAGGAACTCAGCTGGAGAGCACCGGCAGAGTAGATTAAGCCCGAACAACCTGTCACAAAAAGATAAGAATCTGGTAGTGATTCATCCACCCGGGGGCACTCCGACAATCAAGTCAGTAATCGATACCTCTCAAAGATAACAAAGTGTGCTTAAACTCACAAGTAAAAACTTACCTCAGACCCACGAGGGTACTTTGCTTTTATAACCTGCCATGACCTGATCCCCTTAGAAGCCTTACTTCAATAGACTTAGGCTCCATACTCATCTTGGACCCTTATATAGATAGAGATAAACTCTTCTTGAGCCTTATCTCTATCCAGGCTGAGATCATCCCCTATTTTGAAACTCTTGTCCCTTATCTACTTATCTCCGATTTCGATATCTCCGCAGATAACCTCGACCTAGCCAAGATCATCTCGACAACGAGACCCGGCCACGTGGCACCTCAGCTGATACTTCAGCATCACCTTAGCCATGTGATGTCACTCTCAAAATATGTCCCCACACAAAACACGACAGAAATTCTATTCTTAAACATGATAAATCTAAAAACCAACAATTTTTGCAGTCATTACTTGTAATTATTTTTAAAAGATCTAAGAACATACTCTCATATTGCAATTGAACAACCTCAACTTTGAGTCTCAGCAACTGAGCTACTTGAATCCCAGATGAAAAGGGGCACACAGATTGTGCAGTAGCTGGAAGTACAGTACAACCTGAGACTGCAAAATTGCATCCTTTCCTGAAACTTGGAGCCCCAATTGCATTCAAATATGGATTTAGAAATGGCAGCCCCATTGCTTCCACCGTAACACAACCCCCGAAAAACCAACAAAAAACAAAAGCAAAAAAATTACATTTGTAATTTCTATCCTTTGTGTCTCGTATCAATTTCATTCTCATCTATTTTACCTTTAATTTTTTCATATTGTGTTCACTTAATCCAATTAATATTATACTAAGAAAAAATAATAAATTAATTTTTCATGTAACTCCCATCAATTTCAAACAATTCCAACCTCCTCAACTACACCTTAGAAATGATTTGTTAGTGACAATTTTTGGTTTACAATAGGTTTTTTTTGTAATAAAATTACTGTTGCTAAAAAAGTTGATGTATTATGTAAATACTAAAAAATTATTTTTTTATTAGTGAAAAATTTGAGTGGATCCTTAGTAATTTTTATTTGAAATATATATATATATATATATATATTTAGGCCTCGTTTGAAAACAAGCTATTATAGTAATTTTTTGACTTTTTACAAAAAAATATGTCGAAAAATAAAAAGAATAATGTGACAACTTATAGTGACTTTTTGAATTTTTGGATAAAACATGTAGTCGCCAAATGAGGCCTTAATTAATCGAAAAGTAGATAAAAAAAGTTGACACCAAACAAGCCTATAAAGCATTTTTAGGGTTCATTTGGGAAGTAGGTTGGCTTTTTGACTTTTTTAGCCTGGGGTTAAAAAGTCTCGTTTAGGAAGGGTTTTTTGGCTTTTTTGATTTTTTGTGAGAGAAATGATGTAATGATTATGGGTTAGATGTGATGATTTGTCTTATTGGACTAAAAAGCCTATTTTATCTTTTTGTGACTAAAATAACCTCAAACCCAACCTAACCCTTCTTTCCAAACGAAGCCTATTGGTTTCTTGTTTTAAAATGATTGGTTTATAATTTTGTCATATTATTTTGTATGTTTTATACATATAATTTATCATTTTGTATAAGTCATAATCAAGGCACAATCAATATCACAATATGTCATAATTAAATACCACAAAAATTATAATTGTGACATAATATTTCCCAAGATAGGGACATATAAGTATAGTTATTATTTTTTTTTTTTGTAAATCAATGCAGATAAAATGATGTGTTCAACTATATAATTATATTTTTGTATTCAACTATGTTAATAAAGAATGCCTAGTTCATAGTAATATTATTCTTTTTTTTTGGGGGGTAGAAATCAATATTTATTTTAAATTTAAATATATTTATATCCTAATTTTCTAAATATTAGAAGGTAAATCATTAATGCTGAACACTATGCAATAAAAGGAGAGGTGACCGTCATTAGTGGACAGCCTAATACCCAAAAAAAAATTCAAAAAATTCTTTATAATGGAGTCCCTAATTTTTGGATGACCCAATGAGATATGACCTAATTTTAATTTTGAAGGAGTGTTTGGCATACAACTAAAAAAGTCACATTTTTTCTGAATTTTTTGATAAGTGATTTTTTTTTCAAATTCTGTCAAAACTTTTTACTTTTCAAATCTATCTTATGTAGGCAAATCTAAAATGTAAAATTTTAAAAAAACAAACCAAAAAAGTCTAACTGTTTTTTTTTTTTTTCTTTTTCTTTTTTTTTTAATCCTTTCTAGATTTTTTTTTTTTGAAAAAATTATTTTCCTATCTGTATAATCTAGAAGAACCCAAAAGTATAAAGTTTACCAAAGACCAAAAAAATAGCAAAAAAATCACTAGTTAAAACAACCTCAAAAGGTTAGTCTAAAATCTTTATAAAAAAAAAAAATTTGCAGGGCCATTTAATAAAAGTTAGGATAATGTACAATAACACTTTTGCAGCAAATAATGAAGTGTCATCCTTGCATTTCTAACTCAGTCCTATGATATCCATTTGGTCAGAACTTAAAATTCATTCATGACTCACAATATTACACATAAAATTACAGATTTTTGTCAAAATAAAAATAAAATAATGATTTTCAGAACTTGAGATTGAGAAGGAAAGGCATCTGGCCGGAGAAGGAGGGATCGGAGTATTTCCCAGTGAGAATTTGGGAGGAAACATACTGATTTGCAGCCTCGGTGTAGTGAATTCCGTCCCAACTCACATATTCAGTACTGTCATTGCAACCCTTGGCTGTGACTGAGCTCCCATTTATCACTTTTGTTAGGCCACAGGCGACTCGACTGTCGTAGTTCAATGGTGGACCTCCATAGCCACAACATGCCATTAATGCTTGTTCAAATCCTGCAAATTTTATTATTCATACAAAATTAAAAACAAAATTTAAAAATGACATGATAAACGAGCTCCGCATTCAGTTATATGATATTATTTGAGAATTTTGCTATGCTTCAAATGTCATTAAATAGTTAAGTTTTGAGTTTGAGATGCAAGTAATTCAAGAGTAATTACAACATAAAAACAATTTCTTTGTTTGGTTTTAATTTTTGAAAACTGTTTTCTAGATTTTTTTTTTTAAATTTTTTTTTTTTAGTGCTTCTTTATCTTTAGTGATTTTTTTTCAACATTTTAATTTATTTTTTTCAATGCACCTATATATATGAAGAAGAAGAAAAAAAAAGTTACTAAAGACAAAAAAAAATATGAAAATATGGGGGCTTTTATGGATTTTTTTGATTTAGAATAAACAGATTTATTCACATATATTTTACTTCTTAAGTCATCTAATTTTTATTTGTTTTTCATTTTATTATAAACGACATATTCACAAAAGATTTAAGGATTTTAAAGAAACTCATAATTTCATATCTAAAATAAATGAAGAGAGTGTGAGGAGTGGAATGATCTCTTTCTTTGTAACCTGTAACACTGGTAACTTACAATCTAATACTAAAAAAATGATAATATAAAAAGTAAAATGACTATGTCTATAGTAAAAATTTTGTTGCAAAAAAAAAATTAGGAAACCAATTTCTGTCTTCACTTAAAGGCCGTTTCAAAAAGACCAAAAAAACAAAAGCTTTTAATAAATACACTTTTAGGAATAAAATAATTTTGTGTAAAAAATGTTTATTTTTTAGACAAAAAAATTTGGTCCTTAAAAGATAGTATTTTATCACTAAACGTTCAATTTCGTCGCTAAAAATACAATAACGACACTTTCAGTAACTAAAAAGTAATTTTGTCAGTAAATTTTTGTCTTTAAAACCTTAAAATGTTTTAGTAAAAATCAATCAAAAATCAAAATTTCTATCAGCCTCGAACGATCAATTTAATTAGTTCTACTGATTTTTCTTCCAGCCCTAATGATTGTATGAGAGTGAAAATAAGATTTTGTTTGTTGAAGGAGAATCTGTATTACTCACCATAACGAGAGTAGTTTGAAATGAGGTTAGATTTGATGGTGAAAATGTCAACATATGTGACATTTGCATCAGTGTACTGTCCCTGCAACTTTGTAGAAAGTGCATGGAGTTGAAGATTGAGAAGCCTTGAAGCTTGGTTATGGGAGCTCACACATCCTAGCTCATCTAGCTTTGATGGGTCACTTCCAAATCTTGCTATGTTCTGAGGCAAGCAACCCAGTGGTCCTGTGTTGTGAATCCAGAAATTTCTTGCCCCTTGGTCATATAGTTTCTGAGGAAACAAACACAAGACAAAATGTGGGAGACTCTGAGAAATTAGTACCTTTTTTCACTTTTTTTATAAATCCAACTTATCTAAATCACATGATTATGTGAAAACTAGGGATGTAACTTGCATGGGTCCAATCTGAGATATCCGAGTCTAACTCGAAAAAATTTAAGGATTGAATAGTATAATTTCAAATATGGTAAAGGTCTGGGCTAAATTTGCCAACCATTAGGCCACTTAGTTCATGCCTAGAGGAAAGTAAGAAATTTTAAAAAAATTCAAAGACACAATAACATAATATTGCCTCATTCTAATATTTAGTCTGAGGTCTAAAAAAATCTTAAACTGCCACTGCAATGGTATGTGTCTCCATGTTTCGAAGAAATCTGACCTGAATTCCAGCTTCAAATTCTGCTAAAATTGTTGGAATTGAAGCAAGAATTACATCCAATGATTTGGAATAGAAAGCACCAGCAAGGTCATTCTGTCCTATGTCAAACATGTAAAGCCCCTTGTCAAAAGAATCCACTGCAGGTAGGAACTTGTCAAGTTTCCTTGCTGCAACAAAATTCAAACCACAATGAACAGTCTCTCAATAATTCCCAACATTTGATTCTGTAATCACATGCTATATTTTTTCATGTAAAAGCAACGAATTTAGAAATTAACTAAGAACATACTTTTAGAAAGGAGATAAAGAACCCGAGCCTTGAAACGCAAGAACTGAGAGACTTGAATACCAAATGAAAACGGGCTGACAGACGATGCAGTTGCAGGAAGTATGGTAGAGCCTGCAGCTGCAAAATTGCATCCTTTTTTGAAATTGGGCAATCCAATTGAATCCAAATATGAGTTTAGAAATGGCAGATCCATTGCATCCACTGCATACATAATTCGCATCCAACGAAGAAGAAGAATCAGTAACGAAATACAAACAGAAAATTTATACAAATGTTTTTTATAAAAATGACAATGTCACATCATTTTTGTGGTGCTTTCTATATATATATTTTGTAAGAACTGGGGTTTTTAAACAAACACAGAAAATTTGTTTGGCAACATTTTTTTCTAAAAATACATTTGAAGAAATTTTTCTGAGGATAACCCAGCTTTTAAGAAACTCCCAAAGGTTATTTTTGATTATTATTTTTTTTTTTTTTTGGGCACAAAATGAAAACAATATGTATTTTCAAACTTTCCCATTGTTTTTGTTTTTGAAAATACAGGCGCATTTTGCAAATGCAACAGAAAATTTTCAATCAATAGGCATAATTTAGAAATCCCAATTTTAGAATAATTAAAACAGAGTAAAGAGGGGAATATTACAATAAAGAAAACAGAGGTGAAGTGAATAGCAGAGCAAACAGGGGAACACAAACTGCTAAAAACTAATTTTCTAAACACAACAGAACTTTCAATCAATGGGAAAATTTACTCAAGAAATCGATGATAAGGCGGCCATCGCAGAATCTCCCGGATGGTTTTTTGAAGTAAATCTGGCCATTGGGGGGCTCAAGGGGCTCGGCCATTCCAGCAACGAGTCCACCAGTGTCGGAATTCGAATCACCAAAATTGAAAACTGCTGGGAAATTGAAGTCCATGGAATTGGAGAGAGGTGAGAAGATAGAACACAGGGCAATAATTAGGAGGAGAGAGGTTTTGAGAGCCATGTCTTTTTGTGGGAATAGTGATTGTTTTTGTTGCTGTAGTTTTGTAGTTGTTGCAGTTGTTGTAATGTTGAGTTAACTACCTACCTTTCACAATATGTATAAAAAGGATGTGGTGGACTTTGTGTGTAGTGAAAGTTTGCTTTGGATTTGAGGAACCCAAAAACATTCAAGTTAATGTAGTAATTGCCAATAACATCCTTGTATGTATCATGTGACCTGTATTAACTGTGTTGCACTAATCTTGGGATGTGAATATGGCTTATATTAACCTCGTAGCACTAAACGGTGGTTGTGGAAAAAAAAAAAAAATAATTTAATGTTAGGTCATTATCCATATATGATATTATTAATTAATAATAAATTATTATGTGGGTATGGTAAACCCCACTCTATATTGGGTTGTATGAAATAATGGCTATATCTAAATATTGAGGTTTACATATCTTATGGTTCGGTTTATTATTAAATTTTGATATCATATGTCAATAATAATGTAATATCACTGTTATATTAAATTTTTACTCACTTCTTTTTTTGCACAGTAAATTTTTACTTACTTGATATGTATCATTACCAAATGAGATAGAAACCATTAGTACACATAGGACCCACCAACCAAACTATTCATATTTGTATTAATATTTATTAGCCTATCATCCGTGCTATGCACGGGACAATTATAAATATTTATATTTATTTTAGATTTTTTTAATATATAAAGTATATATTTTTAAGATTTTTTATAAAAATAATTTAATAATCTTATCACTAACCATAGTGTATGAGAGAAGTTAAAAATGGTACTGCAGTAACTATACACAGATTGTATCTATAGTTATTTGTATGAGGGGATTTTAAATGCTGATCAGGAGATTTTGACCAAATCAATAAATGCAGGCATGTGGATTAGAAAAAATTAATAAATGCTTATCAGGGGATTTTGACCAAATCAACAAATGCTGAATTTTTTTTTTTTAATAAAAAATTTAGAAAATTCAAATTGAGATATTGAAACTCCCACAGGCATTGGGGTTAAAAATCCTCTTTTGCTTAAAAACCCCCTTGAGTGTTTATATTTATCTAACTTCAATTATATTAAAAAATCAAATTATAAATAAAAGGAGATAACTTCAATCATACAAATCACATTTTTTTTAATGCTATCTAACTACAATCACATTTTTCTCATAATAAAAAAAATAATTAAAAAAAAGAACCATTAAAATAGTAAATAAAAAGATTATTTAGAACTGTTGAACAAACTACAATCACATTTTTCTTTTTGTAAGTGTTTATGTTTATCTAATTTCAATCATATTAAAAAAATCAAATTATAAAGAAAAGTAGATAACTTCAATCATACAAATTACAATTTTTTTAATGTTATCTAATTACAATCATATTTTTCTCATAATAAAAAATAATAATTGAAAAAAAGAACCATTAAAATAGTAAATAAAAATATTATTTAGAGCCATTGAACAAATTACAATCACATTTTTCTTTTTGTGAATTAACTTCAATTATATTAAAAAAAATCAAATTATAAACAAAAGGAGATAACTTCAGTCATACAAATCACAATTTTTTTAATGCTATCTAAATGCAATGACATTTTTCTCATAATAAAAAAAATAATTGAAAAAAATTACCATTAAAATAGTAAATAAAAAAGATTATTTAAAACTATTGAACAAAGTACAATCACATTTTTCTTTTTGTAAGTGTGTATGTTTATCTAATTTCAATCATATTAAAAAATAAAATTATAAATAAAAGGAGATAACTTCAATCATACAAATCACAATTTTTTTAATGCTATCTAATCATCATCAATAATTAAAAAAATTAATCACAAATTAAGTCAATTGATAATTAAAAAACACAATAATTTATTTTTCAAAAAACATAGTGAGTTAAAAAGATCAATTATAATTTTTTTGGGGTCAAAATACAATCTAATCATCATTAATAATTGGTACATTATGTGATCCTAATGAGTACAATCTATTTTGTTTTTCAAAAAACACAGTGAATTAAAAATCAAATCACAAATTAAGTGAATTAATAGTTAAAAAAATACCAAAAAAAAAATTCAAAAAACACAGTGAGTTAAAAAAATCAATTACAATTTTTTTTTTTCAAAATACAATCTAATCATTATCAATAATTGGTACTTTAAAAATCAAATCAGAAAAAAATCAAAGCAAATCACAAATATTTTTATGTTATCTAACTACAATCATATTTTTTTCATAAATAATTGTAAAGAAAAACCATTAAAACAGTAAATAAAGATTAAATCACATTAAAAAAAAAAAGAACCATTGAACAAAGTACAATCACATCACATTTTTCTCATAATAAAGAAAATAAATAAATGAAAAAAAGAACTATTGACTAACTACAATCATATTAAAAAAAAAGAACCATTAAACTAACTACAATCACATTTTTTTCTTTGTGAGTGTTTATGTTTATCTAATTTCAATCATATTAAAAATAAAATTAAAATAGTAAATAAAAAGATTAAATAACATAAAAAAAAAAAAACCATTGAACTAACTACAACAATCATATTAAAAAAAGAGCCATTGAACAAACTACAATCACATCACATTTTTCCAATAATAAAATAAATAAATGAAAAAAAAGAGCTATTAAACTAATTACAATCACATTAAAAAAAAAAAGAATCATTCAACTAATTATAATCACATTTTTCTCTTTGTGAGGGTTTATATTTATCTAACTTCAATCATATTAAAAAATCAAATTATAATTTTTATTCGCTAGACAAATCACAAATATTTTTATGCGCTATCTAACTATAATATTAAAACAGTAAACAAAAAGAAAAGTCAAGAAGGAGAAAACAAAAAGAATACTTACTGTTTGTATACGTGGTCACTGAAGTTGAAAATGTAGAAGTGAGAAATCAATGAGAAAACAAAAAGGAGACTCACTGTTTGCAATAGGTATGTAAAAAGTTAAATAGAGTGTGTGTATTGGAGAAGTTAAAAAGACTTGGAAGAATTTAGCCTTTGTTTGGGAACTTGGTTTGGGGCTAAAATAGCCACAAAAAACAAAATAGGCTATTTTAGCCACAAAAAACAAAACATCAAATCCAACCCATAATAATTACAATTCTCTCTCACAAAAAAAGCCAAAAAAGCCAAAAAACCAAAAAGTCCTTCCCAAACCAGGCTAAAATAGCCCAGGCTAAAATAGCCAAAAAGCCAAAAAGCCAAAAAGCCAACCCACTTCCCAAACGGAGGATTTAGTGTTAAGTTTTTTTTTCAAAAAAAATTTAAAAAATTAAGAAATTAAGGTTCAGATATTGAAACTCCCACAAAACTTGTGGATTAAAGATAGATATAAATAAATAGATAGATATTTATATTTGTTTTAAATTTTTTTAATATGCAAATTATTTGTTTTGGAAAAGGTACTGTAGTTATTATGAGAGAAGTCAAAAAGTCTTGTGGGTTGAGAGAAGTTAATAAATGCTGAGATAATTTTTTTTTTTAAAACAAAAAATTAGAAAATTAGGATTAGCATATTGGAGCTCCCACAGGCCTTGGGGGTTAAAAATCCCATTTTACTTAATATATAGTACTAACCTATCACCCGTGCT